TGGGTCAGGAATCTAGGAGCAGCTTAATGGGTGAAAACAAGATGTCAGCTAGGGCTTTAATTATCTCAAGGTTCAACACAGAGGGGATTTGCTTCCAAGCTCAGTCATCTGACTATTGGAAGACCTCAGAAAAAGTTTCCAAGCTCACTCACGAGGACCTCTCCACAGGCCTACTTCATGACATAGTAGCTACCTTCCCCCAGAGCGAATGAGAGAGAGAGAGAGACATAGATTCTAAGAAGTCAGTCTTTTAATAACTTATCTTGGAAATGATGACCCATCACTTCTGCTATATTCAGTTAATTAGAAGCAAGTCAGTAAGTCCAGCCTACACTCAATGGAGTGGGGATACACAGGATCATAAATACCAGGAGGCAGGGATCATTGGGACCCATTTTAGAGACTGTATACTACAAAGAGAATGTAGGATTGATTATTAAAATAAAAGATTAAAAGTATCTTGTTTAAAATAATTCAAAGAAGCGATACAGTGCGGTGTTTAAACTCTATTAGATTTGCTAAGATAGCTGGTATTGTCATTATGTAATAGTATCTTGAAATTAAATTGTAGTGTTACTCCTCCATCCGTGTTTAATAATACTTACATAACTAGTACAATTGTGTCTACGTTAAGTATCTTGGATGCATTAATGAATTTTAAAAATGAGTTTTATGTTTGGTAGTGTATATATGTCCATGCCACTCTCTCACTTTGTCACACCTTACCCTTCCCCCTCCCCATATCCACAAGTCCATTCTCTAGTAGGTCTGTGTCTTTATTCCTGTGGGAAGCAGCCACATAGCACAAGGAGATCAGCTCGGTGCTTTGTGACCACCTAGAGGGGTGGGATGGGGAGGGTGGGAGGGAGGGAGATGCAAGAGGAAAGAGATATGGGAACATATGTATATGTATAACTGATTCACTTTGTTATAAAGTAGAAACTAACACACCATTGTAAAGCAATTATACTCCAATAAAGATGTTTAAAAAAATGAGTTTTATGTATGAATTTTTGATTATAGTAAGTAACTTTTTATAACTGAATAAGATTCTTAGCTAACTATTTTTCTTTTATTTTCCTTATATTTAGTATTCAGAGGGTTTATCCTTGGAGTCATATGCTCTCAGTATTGTGCAGTTGCTTGGCCTTAACATGGGAATGAGTTATGATAATACTGAGATCTGCCATTGTTCAGGAGATGTTTGCACAATGTCACCAAAAGCTGTGTAAGATCATTTTCTTTATTAAACACACAGTATACTTAAAATTTTTTTTTGGTTAGGGGCCTTATATTTCTATAACCAAACTGAATTAATTGACAATTATAGAACACAATATCCTACACTAGGATGTGCATTCTTTTTAAGTGCGGATGGAACACACACCAAAATAGACCCAGCACTCCCCCAGGCCTCTCCATGCCTGGGGACATTCTCTTCCTGCTTCCTACCTTCCAGAGTCTGGCTTGTATTTTTCTCTGCTGGCTAGATTGAAGGTACCCTCTGGGGACAAGCCATATGAATTGTGTGATTTTAGTGATTCTATTTAAAGTTAAATGCCTTGATACTGGCATTATACAATATAAGGATGAACAGTACAATTCAAGTTAAAAATGTATCTTTTTTTAATTTAGAAAGACATCAAGTCACAAATAAGTAAAACTATGCCCCACTGAGAGAGAGAGACTACTGAAGAAAAAGGCTTTTTTAAAATTTTAGTATCATTGATAATACTTTAAAAACAATTTTGAAATCAGGTAGTACAAATCCCCAAGTTTTTCATCTTTTCCCAAATTGTTTTGGTTATTCTAGGTCCTTTGTAGTTTCATATATATTTTATTATCAAATTTCCAATTTTTATGAAAACTGTTGAGAGTTTTAAAAATTGAAGTATAGTTTATTTACAACATTATGGTAGTTCCAGGTATACAGCATAGTGATTCAGTATATTTACAGGTTATATTCCATTATAAGTTATTACAAGATAATGGCTATAATTCCCTGTGCTATATATATAGTGTATCCTTGTTGCTTATCTGTTTTATACATACTAGTTTATATCTCTTAATGCCCTACTCCTAACTTGCTCCTCCCCCCTCCCTCTCCCCTTTGGTAACCCCTTGTTTGTTTTCTATATCTGTGAGTCTACTTCTGTTTTGCATATGTGTTCTTTTGTACTATTTTTTAGTTACCACATATAAGCGATACCATATGGTATTTGTCTTTCTCTATTTGACTTATTTCACTTAGTATGACAAATACCATACAGTATTTGTCTTTCTCTGTTTGACTTACTTCACTTAGTATGATAGTCTCTAGATCCATCCTTGTTGCTGCAAATGGAAGAATTTCATTCATTTTTATGGCTGAGTAATATTCCATACTATATCTTTTTTATTCATTCATCTGTGGATGGGCATTTGGGTTGCTTCCATATCTTGGGTATTATAAATAGTCAATTTTGGGAGAGTTACCATCTTAACAATACTGAGTCTTTTAATTCTTGAATCTGGTATATGTCTTCATTTATTTAGGTCTTTAATTTTCCCCAGCAATGTATGGTATTTTACAGTTTACAGATCTTGTACTTGTTATATTTATTCTTAAACATTTTATTCTTTTTTGCTATTTTGAAAAGAACTGTTTTCTTAATTTCATTTTCAGAGTGCTCATTGCTAGTACATAGAAATATAATTTTTGTATATTGACTTTGTGTTCTGCAAACTTCCTAAACTCAACAGAAATTCCAGGAGATTTTATTTGTTGATTACCTAAGATTTTCTGTAAACAATATCTTGTTGTCCATGAATAAGAACAGTTTTATGTTTTCCTCTCCATCTATTTGTGTGTAGTTCCTTTTTCTTGCTTAATTGCACTTGAAATAAATTCAGCCCAATGTGAATCGACCTGGTGAGAGTGGGTACCCTTGCCTTGTTACCAATCTTAGCTATAGTTTTTTTTTTTAATAAATGTCTTCTCTTCTAAAACAGTGTCTTTTATTCCCTGTAAATTGTGTTGTTTTATTTTTCTTCATCATTCCAATAACTATCTGACTTATTTCATATACCTATTTCCTGATGTTCGTACTTTTTGCCCCTAGCAGGCACTTGGTCTATGTTTCACTACACACCAGTTGTCTAGAAGAGTGCTTGGTAAATGTTTCCAATAATGACCTTTTAGCTCAGTATTCTTATTATTTCATTTTGTCCTGTGATGACTGAATCTATGTTATCCCAAATATCTGTGAAGGCACAAAGTAGATAATAACTAAATTACTTCTTCTCTGTGTGAAATTGTTTCTCAAAGCAATATTCTTTCATCATCTTTTTGAGTGTTGTATTTGTATACACTATAAAAAATCAACTTTTGAGGTACGATTTGTCTACAATAAAATTCATACACTTTAAACTTTAAGTATACAAGTTTATGGCTCTTGATAAATATATACAAATTACTGAACCAGTGTCAATCAGGCTGTGCAACATTTCCATTTCCACAGAAAGTTCTTTTGTGATCCTTGGCTGTCCTTTTTACCTTCCACCCTGCCCCAGTCAACAGCTGATCTGATTTCTATCACTACAATTAGTTTTACTGGCTCTAGAACATTAGGTAAATTGGATGATATGCACTCTCTTTTGAGTGTTCACTCTGTAAGGCTGTAATTTCTCTGAATTATTTAAACATTTTTCTTTAATTAATTGAATATATTTATAATGGTTCCTTTCAAGTATTTGTGTGCCAAACCTAACACCTGGGCCATCTCAGTGTTGCTTACTATTGGCTGCTTTTTTATTGACTATGGTTTACGTTTTCATATTTCTTTGTATGATTATTAGTAGTAGTAGCATATTGGATATTGTTTGATAGTACAATAGAAAGCTTAGATTCTCATTACCTTCCTCTGAAAAGCATTGATTCTTTTTCTACCAGGCAATTCAATTATTGGGTAATCATTTTAAATCTTATGTGCTTGGTTTTATACTTCATTAACATGAGTCTATAGAAAACTCAAGGCATTTCCAAACCCCTCTAAAATGGCAGGCCTGAACTTCCAAACTTGGTTTCCTCTGGGGATGTTGTCAGGGCTTGAGTTTAGGCTCTAACTGTTAGGACTGATACAGAGTAGATTTTAGTATAGGGCAGAGGTCAGCCAACAATGATCTATAGGCTAAATTTGGCTGCCTGCCTGTTTTGTAAATTAATTTTATAGGCTTACTGTTTTACGTGTTCTTCATGGCTGCTTTTGCACTACAGTGGCAGAGTTGAGTAGCTGCAACAGAGCATATGACATATAAGCCTATAATATTTTCTGTGTGGCCCTTCACAGATAAGTTTGTCAGCTACTGGTCTAGGGCGTAGTCTTTACTCTTAAATTGTATTCTTTCTAGGGTTTTAGTTGGATGCTGATATATTAGCAGACTACTAACAACTTTCTCACTCCATCAGGACAGGTATTCCTCTTGTCCCTCCCATGGTATAAATCAAACAACAGATTCTTGTTTGAAAAATGCCTAATTACAGAGAGCAAAAGATCTAAAATATACTTTTAGAGGTAATACAGACATGTTCATATTGATATTTACAGAAAAAATACAAAAATGATATTAAATAAATAAAAAGTATATTAAATACTGAGGCCAAAAATTTTAAATTCAGTTGTTTGGCACTAAGAAGATAAATAAAGAGTAACACAGTTCCTATGTTTAAACAATTAATAAAGATTTTAGGATAGGTAAATAATTGGTCTTCTTTAAAACAGGATGAATGGCAAAAGATTTTGGAATTTTTTTTCATTACAAGAATTTTCTTGGTGAAATTTAAAAAGTGTGTTAAAAATGTTAGTATTTTTTAAATACTTTTATATTTTTAAAAGTGTGCTTATTGTTATCCATGAGAATAATGCTCTTTAAATTCTCTTCAAAACATCATACATTAGGAGAAATGTAGAGTTATACAGCAATAATTTTTGTCATACCCTTTTTTTTAAAATATATTTTAGGCTATCTGGGGGTATAAAGGATTTTAGCACTTGTAGCTTGGATGACTTTAAATATTTTGCTGCACATTCTGGCCTTGAATGTCTTCATAAAATCCTTCCCGTTGGGCCAGTTTACAAACAGAGGAAGATGTGTGGCAATGGAAAGTTGGAATCGGGTGAAGAATGTGATTGCGGCACTTTACAGGTTAGTGGAAATTTTTTCAAAAATATTTTTTATTTCCCGTATATGTGAGTACGAGGTGAAAAAGAAGACCTTGTCTTTTAGAAGAAAAATTTTGAAAAATACCTTCTTTGGGGAAGATGGAAGCCTTTAAGTTTCCTAATTTTGCCATTTTTTGAAGTGGGGAGCAAACATCCTTTAGTTAATATTTGTCTTCAAATATTGCCTTCCTAAATTCTTTAATGTATGCATCAGCTCTAATCTTATAATCAGTGACCACAAAGAGCGTATAAGGAGTTGAAGAAATATGCCTTTAACAACAAGCAGTAACAAAAAGACAAGAACATCTAAAGACTATAGACTATATAGCAAAATGCATCGTTTGCTATTATACGGGAAAAAAGTTTTGTATGGACAGGTTATGTTTCCCTTCAACACTGCAGTGGATGCTCCTGCCATTGCAGTAAGGGAAGATAAAGAAACACAAAGAAACACACAATGAAACTGCAGTAAGGCACAAAAAAGAAACACACAATGAGTGGAAAGGAAGATTAAAACTGTCTTTAATCAAATTCAACTTGGCCACGTGATTGGAGAATCCTAAACAGTCTACCCCCAAAGTCTGCTAAAACTAATTAATGAATGCATGTGAACCCAAATTCCATGGAGTTCTATGTATAAACAATGAACAAATGTAAAATGAACTAAAATGTACAATTCCATATACATTGTTTCAAAAACATGAAATAGAGATAAATTTAACAGAATACATGCAAGACCTGTACAGTGAAAACTCACATTGCTCAGAGAAATGAAAGAAGATCAAGAGGGAGACGTATCCCACTTTCATGGATTGGAAGACACAATATTGCCAAGATGTCAGCTCTACATCAACACTCCACATAATCCCAATCCCAACCCCACCATCGTTCTGTGGAAACTGACAAGCTGATACTATAATATATATGGAAATGCAAAGGACCTAGAATAGACAAAGCAATTAAAAAGAACAAAGGTGGAGCATATACACTAATTTTCTGTAAATTTCAAATTTTTCTATAAAGCAGAAATAATCAATATAATGTGGTATTGGCCAAAGCATAATTATATCCCTTAATGAAACAGTATAGAGAATCCAAATATAAAATATTTATAAGATCAGTTGATTCTCTGCCAATCAGAGATGTTAAGGCAGTTAAATGGGTGAAGAAAACCTTTCCAACAAAGGTATTGTATGAGCTAGACATCCACGTACATAAAAAGAAAACTTTGACATCTCACCATACACAAAAATTAACTTGAAATGGATCAAAGACCTAAATATAAAAGCAAAAATCCTAAAGATCTTAGAGTAAAACACAGGAGACAGTCTTTTTGACTCTATGATAGGCAGAACTTTCTTAGATAAGGCAAATAAGAATGAGGTTTTAAAGAAAAATATGTAAGTTGTACTTAATCAAATTTAGAAACTTTTAGGCTCTGTTAAGAAAAATAAAATGATAGACTCTGAAATGGGAGATTCAAAAGCCAATTCAATTCAAATACATCGAAAGACAAGAATTATGGTTTCTGGTCTGACATGTGAGAATTTTAGAAGCCACCACTTAGTCCTTACAAGTAAAAAGCTAACCAACTTGGAAAAGAAATAGCTCTTCTTGCATCCATCAGAGATGTGAGGTCACAGAGCAAACCACTGCCCCACAAATTGGAAAAACCAACAGGTGAATGCAGAGAATCACAACTTAATAGAGTAGCAACCCACAAGCTAAAACCTTTTGGGAACCAGTATCTGGGTAGGAGAACCTGAATTGGAATTGACAAATTTCTGGAGTCTCAGTGCGTAGAACTCTGATAGTTTACAACTCCAGGGGAACCCGATCATAGGAAGGTCCCCACACTTTTATGAGTTGTACCTGCAGAAACTTGAACTGTTTGTCACAGTGAATACTGGAGAGAAGTCTAATGCTTCTGGCAGAGGGGGGGGAAAAGGAACCATTTTGAAATAGCCAGAGCATTCTATTCTTAAGAAAGTCTGCCCTTACAAATGGAGTTGTATTGAAAAAGAAAAAAAAAACCCAAACTAGAATAGCCAAACATTTGATTAAGAGATACAGTAAGAAAAAAAGCTAACAAAGGAATATTTAAACTTTTGAGTACATGAATACATGAGTCAATAGATCAAATAAATAGCCTTTTTAAAGTATAATATTGCTGCCTGTGGTGAAGCTGTTCATTGAAAATACCAATTAAAAATACCAATAAGGGGCTTCCCTGGTGGCGCAGTGGTTTAGAGTCTGCCTGCCGATGCAGGGGACACAGGTTCATGCCCCGGTCTGGGAGGATCCTGCATGCCGCGGAGCGGCTGGGCCCGTGAGCCATGGCCACTGAGCCTGCGCATCAGGAGCCTGTGCTCCGCAACGGGAGAGGCCACAACAGTGAGAGGCCCGCGTACCGCAAAACAAAACAAAACAAACAAACAAACAAAAAAATACCAGTAAGAAAAAACACACCAGGAAAGTCAAACTTCTAATATTGGTAAATTACAGAGTTTAAAACAAACTTGCTACTGAAGACTGGAAAAGTTGATTGAAGGCACTGAATCTTGTAAAATACAAGTGCGTATGGGGCCAGCATCCCAGTGAAATCTGGACAGACCAGACTGGCTTCTGGGACCAATTTTCTGGGGGCAGAAGTTTGGGGGTTTGCCATTTCAGACAGAAGCTGAGAGTCTGCATGCTGGCAGTGTGTAAGTAGATTTATTATGAAAGCAAGAATATAGGAAAAATTCAGAAGGGAATGGTAGCTAACAAGAAATCTAATAACTGTTTCCTCTAAGTTTTTGGCTCCACAGTAGTATGTTAATATTGTTCAGATTATATGGAATGTAGTGAAATGACACATTTCTTTTACAACCTACTGGCTGAGATGTTGATTTCAATAAGTCTCATGTAAAGAGTGGGATTACTGAAACTGGTTTTTAAGAAATGCTCATACTTCGTAAATAAATTCTGTATTGCAGTTTTATTTGACTGTACCTAATCATGCATGACTGAGTAATAAAGCATTTGTTTCCAGAATTGTACACATCCAGACTGCTGTGATCCTAGAACATGTACAAAGAAAAAAAATAAAATATGTGGTGCGGGGGAATGCTGCACACAAGATTGCAAGGTAGGAGGCAATCTGTATTTTATATGTTAGCATTAAATTTCTTTTTCTTAAAAAAATATTTATTTATTTATTATTTTTGTCTGTGTTGGGTCTTTGTTGCTGCATGCGGGCTTTCTCTAGTTGCGGCGAGCAGGGGCTTCTCTTCATTGTGGTGTGTGGGCTTCTCATTGCAGTGGCTTCTCTTGTGTAGAATGGGCTCTAGGTGCACGGGCTTCAGTAGTTGTGGCGCCTGGGCTCAGTAGTTGCGGTGCACGGGCTTAGTTGCTCTGTGGCATGTGGGATCTCCCTGGACCAGGGCTCGGACCTGTGTCCCCTGCATTGGCAGGCAAATTCTTTTTATTTTTTTATTTATCTATTTTTGGCTGCATTGGGTCTTTGTTGCTGCGTGTAGGGTTTCTCTAGTTGTGTCGAGTGGGGGCTACTCTTTGTTGCGGTGTGTGGGCTTCTCGTTGCGGTGGGTTCTCGTTGCAGAGTACAGGCTCTAGGTGCGTGGGCTTCAGTAGTTGTGGCTTGCAGGCTCTAGAGCACAGGCTCAGTAGTTGTAGCGCGTGGGCTTAGTTGCTCCACAGCATGTGGGATCTTGCTGGACCAGGGCTCGAACCCGTGTCCCCTGCATTGGCAGGCGCATACCTAACCACTGCGCCACCAGGGAAGTCCCATCATTAAATTTCTTGAAATACTTGTTCCAAGGAGATGGAAAACATGTCACTACTCTATGCAGTCCTTCCTATCTTATTATATGCAAGCAGCATTGGAGCCCGTCACACTTCAGTCCACTCTGTAATCTGTCATTTCTAGGACTCTCCTGTACATAATGCCTGATGCTTCTCTCTCCTGATTTGACTTCCTATACCATTCCTATACCACATTACGAATCTTTCCTGTACCCACTGGGATTTCTCTGTGATCAACATACACCTTGGGCAACCTTCTTAAATTCTTATTTTATAAGACCATACTTAACATAGGGACAGGAAGTTAGATTAGTTCTTTTTTGTTGGCTAACTTCTCTTTACTGTCTTCTGGTAAAAATCCTCTCTACCTTCACAATTCATTCAGTTACTGTTACAACCATTCAGTTCCTTTTAATGAAAGCATTTAACGAACCCCTGAAAATTGCCCAACACCCAGCACAATCCATTGGAACCCTAAGGAGAAAGAAACAAACTCTTGAACAAAGGTAAGTGCACATATTCTTAAGATGGGAGGAAGAGCATGATTTAATCTTTAAAAAAAATTTCCCCAGGTTTATTGATATAATCAACATATAATTCTTTAGTTTAAGATGTACAACGTAATGATTTGCTCTAAGTATGTATTGTGAAATGATGACCACAATAAGGTTAGTTAACACATCCACCACTTCACATACTGAGAACATTTAAGATTTATTATCTTAGCAACTTTTAAGTATATAATAACATTATTGTTAACTACAGTCACCATGCAGTACATTAGATCCCCAGATTTTTTTCGTTTTATAGCTGAAAATTTGTACCCTTCACCTACATCTTCCCATTTTCCTCACCTAGCACCCACTGGCAACCACCAATCTACTCTCTGCTTTGAGGAGTTTGGCTTTTTTACATTTCACATGTGAGATTATACAGTATTTCTCTTTCTCTTGTCTGACTTATTTCAATTAGCATAATGTCCTCCAGGTTCCTACATGTTGTCGCAAATGGCAAGATTTCCTTATTTTTTATGGCTGAATATTATTCCACACTACATTTCTTTTAATACGTTAATCTATTGCTTGCCACTTAGGTCATTTCCATATCTAGGCTATTGTGATTGATGCTGCGATGAACATGGGGGTACACCTGCCTCTTCAAGACTCTGGTATTATATCCTTCAGATATATATCCTGGATCAAAGTAGTTCTATTTTTAATTGAGAAACCTCCATATAGTTTCCCATAGTGACTGTAACAATTTACATTCCCTCCAGTAGTGTGCCAGGGTTCCCTTTTCTCCACATCCCTGTAAACACTTGCTATTTGTTGCCTTTTTGACTATAGCCATTCTGACAGGTGTGAGGTGATATCTCATTGTGATTTTGATTTTCATTTCCCTGATTAGTGATGTTGAACATCTTTTCATGTGCCTGTTGGCCATCTGTGTGTCTTTTGAAAGATGCCTATTCAGGCTCTCTGTCCATTTCAAAATCAAGTTGTCCATCCACGTCTCTACAAATGACCCCATTTTGTTCCTTTTTATGGCTCATTAATATTCCATTGTATATATATACCACATCTTCTTTGTCCATTCATCTGTCAGTGGGCATTTAGGTTGCTCCCATGACCTGGCTATTGTAAATGGTGCCACAGTGAACATTGGGGTGCATGTGTCTTTTTGAGTTATGATTTTTCTGGGTATATACCCAGTAGTGGGATCGCTGGGTCATATGGTAATTCCAGTTTTAGTTTTTTAAGGAACCTCTACACTGTTCTCCACAGTGGCTGTATCAATTTACATTCCCACCAACAGTGCAAGAGGATTCACTTTTCTTCACACCCTCTCCAGCATTTATTATTTGTAGATTTTTTGATGATGGCCATTCTGACCAGTAGAGACTGTCATACAGAGTGAAGTAAGTCAGAAAGAGAAAAACAAATATCATATATTAAGGCATATATGTGGAATCTAGAAAAATGGTACAGATGAACCTATTTGCAAGGCAGAAATTGAGACACAGAAGTAGAGAAGAAATGTATGGGCCCCAAGGGGTGAAAAGGGGGGGTGGGATGAATTGGAAGATTGGAATTGACATATGTACACTAATATGCATAAAATAGATAACTAATGAGAACCTGCTGTATAGCACAGGGAACTCCACTTCTCTGTACAGTAGAAGCTGACACAACATTGTAAAACAGCTATACCCCAATAAAAAATTTTTTTTAATTTTAAAATAAAAATTAAATTTAAAAAAAGGGAAAAAAATAAAATCAAGATTTTGTTTTGTTTGCTTTTTTTAAAATATTGAGTCATCTGAGTTCATTTTATATTTTGGATATTAACCCCTTAACAAACATATCTGCAAATATCTACTCCCATTCAGTTGGTTGCCTTTTTGTTTTCTTGATGGTTTCCTTCATTGTGCGGAAGATTTTGTTTGAATGAGTCCCATTTCTTTATTTTTGCTTTTTATACCCTTGCCTGAGGAGACAGATCCATTAAAAATACTGCTAAATTCAGTCAAAGAGTGTACTGCTTATGTTTTCTTCTAGGAGTTTTATGGTTTCTGGTCTTGCATTTAGGTCTTTAATCCATTTTGAGTTTATTCTTGTATATGATGTGATATACACACATCATATACAAAAATTTCATTCTTTTAGTTGGAGGTGTCCAGTTTTCCCAACATGGCTTATTAAAGAGACTGTTGTTTCATCATTGTATACCTTCTTGCCTCCTTTGTCATAGATTAATTGACCATATGTGTATGATTTATTTCTGAGCTCTCTTTTCTGTTCCATTGATTTATACCTGTTTTTGTGTCAGTAGCATACGTTTTGATTACTGTAGCTTTGTAAAATAGAAATCAGGGAGTGTGATAACTCTAGTTCTATTTTTCTCAAGATTGCTTTGGCTGCTAGGGGTCTTTTGTGGTTCCATACACATTTTAGAATTCTTTGTTCTAGTTCTGAGAAAAATGTCATGAGTATTTTGCTAGGGATTGCATTCAATCTGTAGATGGCTTTGGGTAGTACAGTTATTTTAACATTAATTCTTCCAATCCATGAACATGGTATATCTGTCCATTTATTTGTATTTATTCATCAGTGTCTTATAGTTTTCAGAGTATAGGTCTTTCACTTCCTTGGTTAAATTTATTCTTAGGTATTTTATTCTTTTTGATGTGATTGTAGATGAGATTGTTGCATATGTCTTTAGCTCTGAATTGAGTCTCTTATAGGTAGCTTATAGATGCATCTTGTTTTTTTTTTTTTATCCAGTCAGCCTTTTGATAGCAGCATTTAGTCCTTTGACATTTAAAGGGGTTATTGATAGCTATGTACTTATTGATATTTTGTTTCTTGCTTTCTGGTTGTTTCTGTAATTCTTCTCTCTTTTCTTTCTCTTTTAGTTTCTTCCCTTGCAGTTTGATGATTTTCTTTAGTGTTATGTATGGGCTCCTTTCTCTCTAATTTTTGTATATCTATTGTAGTTTTTGATTGGGGTTACCATGGGGTTCATATATGTTGACCTATAGCTACACCTACTTGTTTTAAACTGATAGTCATTCAAATTCAAACACAATTCTAAAAGATCTACATTTTTTACCCTCCCCCATACATTTTTTGTTTTTGATGTCATATTTTACATCTTCATGACTATCCCTTATATGTTTATTGTAGCTATAGTTGATTTTTACAATTTTTGTCTTTTAACCTTGATACTAGATTATTTAAGTGGTTGATCCACTGCCTTAACTATATATTTGCCTTTACCAGGGAGATTTTTCACTTCCTATATTTTCTTATTTCTTGTTGTAGCCTTTTATTTTTCACTTAAAGAAGACCCTTTAACATTTCTTGTAAGGTTGGTTTAGTAGTGATGAACTCTTCATTTTTGCTTGTCTTGGAAAAGCCTTATCTCTTTTTCAATTCAGAATGATAACCTTGCAGGGTAGAATATTCTAGGTTGTAGATTTTTTTTTCTTTCAGCACGTTAAATGTATCATACCACTCTCTTCTGTGGTGAAAAGTTTCTTTAGAAAAATAAGCTAAGAGCCTTATTTGGCTTCCCTTGTATGTGACTTTGTCTCTTGCTGCCTTTACAATTTTCTCTTTATCTTTAACTCTTGCTATTTTAATTATGATAATTCTTAATGTGGGTCTCTTTGGGATCATCTTGTTTGGGATTCTCTGTGATTCCTTTACCTGGATATCTGTTTCCTTCTTTAGGTTAGGGAAGTTTTCAGCCATAATTTCATCATATAAAGTCTAAAAGTTAAATTTATTCCCAAGTAATATAATGTTTTTGATACTATTGTAA